GGAATGCCGTTGAAAAGAAACAGAAAAGAAAAAAAATAATGAAACTTGAACGTAAGTAGAGAGAAGTGCTTATCTTCCGAGGAGCATCTTGAAATAATTTAAAAACACTGCATCGCCTCTCAAGGTAGAGAGATCGCTTAAGCTGAAAACAGGACGAGAACTAAAACGAAACAAAAAAATGCATTCAATCCTCACACAGTCCCTTATCACAAACGTACAAATCAAAGAAGGTCTTCCGGCAAACTGTTCTCTCGTATGTTTTGTATTTGAGAAAAAGGCTCGTTTTCGACAAACGTTTATCTCTACTGGAGCGGAAGTGGGAAGGTGTAACGGTTGAGGCGGAAGTGGAAGGGTTGAGCCTCAGGGAACTTTGTGTGTCACAACGCGGTCAAATCAGACGCTCGTCGTCAATGTCGTTTGGATATGTGGAGTTATTGGTATCATTCTAAAGCTTGTTTGCATGTCTTGCTTTTGGTGGACAAAAATACCCAGATACCAGGAGTAGAAATCAAGATATTTGCTATTGAAGGAGGTGGGGGTCGCTGGTTTCAGAGGTAAAATTAGCGAGAAAAATGGCCGTCAAAGTTTGGCGACTTCCAAAGCTTGAGAGTCGTCAAAAACTGCAAATTTATATCCTTGTGCCATAAATCAACATTTTTCAGGAAAATCCACACTGAAATGTGTTTTTCAATGGACCTTACAGGTGTTGAGTCAAAAACCAACAATTCGATAAAAAATTGCCAAATGGATAGAAACATGCCATTTTCTGATTTCATTATTTTGACGAGCGCCTGATTTCACCACGATGCCTCACCATTGTGCATGAGCTGAAGTGCACGCGCTAACCATTCAACCTGCCCCACTCACTCCAACCTCTCCCAACCTTACATGTCTATGTATGAACTCGCAGCCCCCATCTTATTCTTTGAGGTCTTGTTCTCGTACTCGTTTTTTTTCTTCTTACTCTTATTCTTGTTCTTGTTCATAATCTTGTTCCACGATTTTTTCTTTCATGTGTTGATAGGGGCGTTAAACCTACACAATGTTTTTCTTTCTTTTTTTTCCTTCATTTTTTTCCTTCTTTCCTTCTCTCCTACATTTTGTCTTTCCTCTGTCCCTATCTCCCATAGCATTGCCTTTATTTCCACGGAAGTAGGGCTGGGTGTGGGAGGAATGGAGGTGGAGGTGGGT